ATATTAATTTCAATATTAATTCAGGAAACTTTTTTTTTATTTTAATAGATTTATGTATCCATGTGACCTTCGTCGGTAATTTGCCAAACTGAAAATTCCTACATTGCGTTGCCGATTCAAATTTTAGACATCATTCTCCTCGGTAATTAGCCAACCTACTCCACCTAGTAAGCACTGTTCATAGTAGGTAGAGACATGATTCTTGTTGGTAACTAGCCCACCATCCCACCTGCCAAGACACTGTTTATTATACTTGGAGACATGATCTTTGTCTGTGGATTACCAACGTGGGTTACTAGAAAAAAACTCTAGTAGTACTGTTCCAGGACAACTTTGGACACATGTTTTTTGTCGATAATTTGGAGTTATCTTACTGATGTAACTTTTATCCATGTCGATAAATGAATTATCGGGGCCACTTTCACGGAGGACCCAATTACCGACGTGATTCTTACTGGAAAATTGCTTTACTGACGTGATTTCCTTTCTTTCCTACATGATTTCTTGTCGGGGAATTTATGAATTCTAGTAGTGAAATTTCCTGTCATTTCCCCTTTTAGTTTCTTCTCCTATATGATTATTGCCTAACTACCTCTCTAGTTTTAAATTTATGCATGAAACGGAACAAAAACATTTTAGGCACCTAAGATATGGGGTCTATCTAAAGGTGAGGAGAGAGAAAGAGGATATTTCACTATTTATAGTATTTACAGATTATATATAACATGATTTTAGGAATCATTGATACTACAAGAATTAACAATTTCACCAATGAGAAACCATGTCGGTAAGAAAGGCAATCAGGTCAAAGAAACAGCACTCCAACTTGGATCACGTCGGTAATAGTTTTGTCGGTGAAATCGACTCAGTAATTCATTCACTGACGTAGATGAAAATCACATCGGTAAACTACCTCCTAATTACTAACAAGAAACTTCTCGCAAGGATAGACCGGAATAGTAACATCGAAAATCTTCTCTGGTTTCCACGTCGGTAATTTACCGACAAGAATAACATTTGCACATAGAGAAGGTACTTAGAACCAAAGTAGTCAATACCGTACCGGTATGCGTATCAATTTTGCTACTGGAATGGTACGTACCGGATACTGAAATTTTTCGTGTACCGTTTCGGATTTATCGCTATAAATATATATTTTTATAAATTAAATAT